CCCCAAAACCCCAAAACCCCAAAACCCCAAAACCCCTATTAAATCTTCGTGTGTTGAATTAGTGACTATTTATTCATCCTCTTCCAATGCTTTACTTGCGTTTTAATACATCATCTCTAAAGATTGGAGGGTTGCTTACTCTGTACTGGTTCTTCTTCAATGGCCGACTACATTTCTCTCATTTGAGTGTGAAAGGAGACCCAATGATAGTTTTAAACACAGAAATAGATTTAGTGTTTGGAACTGATCTATATGAATAATCTTACCTACTTCACTAACAGTAGTTTTATTAAAATATTTTAAGCTTACAATTTCTGTTTCTCAAATTTTCTTACTGCCTTTGAGGTGATGCTAGCCTCTGTAAGTTTCTTCTTGTGAGATTTCTTCATCCCTGGAGGGAGTAAGCTGAAAGTAAAGTTGATTTTCTTCACTGATGTTCTGAATATTCGAGTCTGAGGCCTTGTATTCTTTAAATCATCTAAAAATTAGATCTTTAAAATACCTCTAATCTTTCTATACAACCCTTTCTGCTGCTGAGCTGATTGTGCATTCTTGGTATGACCCCTATCATTGAGCTGAATCTTGGGTGTCTTCGTTCTTGACGGATAAACAGGAGGTTTTAAAGCTGATTTATCAATAATATTAGTCTCATGAGTAAAGTCTAAACCAAGAGATGTCTCTATTTCAAGGTCTTTTGCCTCTTTACCATATGTATCTTCTGATTGATTTTCCTCTTTCGGATCTTTGTAAATTTTATTCATCAGAGAAACCTTTTTCATGAAATTATTTTAGCTGAGAACTATGGGCTGATGAATCTCTTTTATTAAGAGTTTTGTAGGTCACTACTGGAGGAAAATCGAGTCAGCTTGTTGAAGACTCTTCGATTGAGGTAATACTCACATCTGGGTGACTGCATAATTTTGTCTGGGCCTTCTTTTCGGTGCTATTTCTGGTGGTTTTTAGACCAGTTTTGATTTACAATAGAGTTATTGTACCTTTTGTTCTGGCTGTAAACTTAATTAGGAAAAAAAAAAGGATAAAGATTTTTTATTATGAAGCTTACCTATGAGGCCTAGAAATTAATTTTTTCTTATTTTTCTTTAGAGCAAATTAAGCAGTTAGAACCTGCTCTATGAATATGAACCTGAATTATTAAATCTAATGAAAGATACCTTGAATGGCTTTAAGACTTGCATTTTCCAAGAAGTTTTGCTATCTTCAAGATCTTTACTCTTTTTCATCATAATCCTTGCTTTAGCAAATTGAGACTTTGCTCTATTTCCCTACACCTTAGGTTTTAGAAGGGTTTTAATAAGAAATTATCCCATGAGAAGTTGCTCTAAGGTAAGAACAAATGGAAGCTATTATCTACAGATTGATTCCATTTAAGTGAATGAAATTCATCCAAAAAATGGTACCTTAGTGCTTCAAATCATATTTACAATTAATTATAATTTAAAGGGGTTTTGGGGTTTTGGGGTTTTGGGG